GGGGGGGGAGACGATGAGAGCAGATGAGGATGCGGGGTGGGGATGAAGTACGGATTTTGAGGGGCAGGAGATGAGAGCAGGGTGCAGTGTATCGAGCAAAAGAGGACCGTCGCGCAGGAGTGCTCGAGCGCCATCGGAGCGATGCAGGTGACGAGGGGGAGAAAGGGGGAGAGACGATATAGCAGGACGAGGACGAAGCCGAGGATGAAGACGACGATGAGACTAAGGATGGAAGCATGAAGGAGAACGAGGAGGAATAGCAGGAGCAGGAGCAGGAGCAGGAGCAGGAGCAGGAGCAGGAGCAGGAGAAGGAGAAGGAGGAGAGGACGAGGGACGAGGGACGAGGGACGAGAGACGAGGAGGAGGAAGCTTCGAATTGACGATGCTGATCAAGTCGGACGGGACCTGCCTGCTGTACTTGAACCCCAGCTGCTCCACTTGGAGGTCATACACCAGCAAGGACAAGACTAGCAGACAAGTACGCGAGGGAGGCAGGAGGCTGAAGGCACTGACGGAGAGCAGGCAATCATGCTGGCTCAATGCATGCAGGAGGACTGTGCGCAGGGGCTGATGATCCCCAGCAACACGAGCATGACAGGCTGCCGGTAGGGGGAGGGACGGGAGAGAGGAGGAGGAGAAGGAGCTGACAGGCGGGGGGGCGGGGGGACACGGCAGGTACGTGGACTCGAACGGACTTTGCTTGCCGTCAGCAGCGGCGCAAGCGTACTGCCTCAAGGACAGCCGTAAGGGAGGAGGGAGGGGAGGGAGACAGGGAGGGAGGGGGGGGAGAGAGGAGGAGGAGCGAGGGGGAGGACGGGAGTCGGAGGAGTTGGGGGAGAGAGGACTGGAGAGGGGGAGGCAGAAAGGTGGTGGGGGAAGGAAGGAGGGAGGGAGGGAGGGAGGGGAGGAAGAGGAGAGCTGATAGGGAGGTATTGCAGACTCGATCTTCTGCAAGGACGCGGGGCCGTCGTGGGCCATGACGCCGCTGGTAAGAGGGGAAAAGGAGGAACGA